ATTAATAATTATATACCTTTTGGTTCTGAAAACAAGTGTGAAGAATAGTGTTAAACAAACGTAAAAATCCCATAAAAACCCGTAAACAAGGCGAAAACTTTTTACAAATATTTTTCGTAAATCGAGTTTTGTAACTATTCAATGGTAGTATTCATTTTGATTATTTTGATAAAACATAGGTAACGAACGGATTCTAAAGGTGCCTACGACATTGTCGTTCAACAACGACAATTATAGACGTTTCGAGTTGTTTGGGAGTGCTCATTGAGAATGTGGCATTAATTTCTAAATCCAAGATGGTTGCCAAGAATTATCAAAAAATTATTTTTGGTAATCCTTATGGCAATGGCATTTATATCTGAATACATGATGGCTGACACGACTTTTCGAATTTCTAAATGTAAGATGGCGGGCACGATTTTTCAAATAATGGCAAGTTGGGTATCGTTTTCGACATATTTAAGGGTGCTCATTAAGAATATAGCACTTATTTGTAAATCCAAGATGGCGGACTAGATTTATCAAAAAAATGCAATATGGGTATCCTTTTCGAGGTATTTGGGGAAGCTCATTACGAATATGGCACTCATTTCTAAATCTGAGATGGCGGGTACGATTTTTCGAACAATGGCAAGTTGGGTATCGTTTTCGAAGTATTTGAGGGTGCTCATTACGAATATAGCACGTGTTTGTGAATCCAAGATGGCGGACACGATTTTTCAAAAAAATGCAATATAACGAAAACGTCTATAATTCTCGTTGTCGATCGACAATGTCGATTATATTAATACGTTCTGGTATTCTTTTTAATTTATTTTTCTTCAGTTTTAACAAAATAAGTGAAAGTAACGTTTCTTCGTCAGAATCCATCGTGTAACTGAGTCGAAAGATAAAACATCACAAAAAATTTAGTCGCACTTCATCGGGGCGACAGTCGCGCGGCGCGGCTGCAGCGCTGCTGCAGCGCGGCTGCAGCGCGGCTAACAGCGGCTAATTTGAACGCGCCCTAAGCTAAATAATAATTATTCCGTAACTTATAAAATAATAAAAATGTTAGATTAGTTAACATACCTTGCTTGGTAAGTAAGAAATTTCTAAAGATTGCACATAAACTCACGTACTAACGTGCAATCTTTAGACTACGTAATAATGATTATTTCTGCTGGCGGGTTCACGAGTCTTTCACTTGTGTTTTTCGCTTGCTTGCGATGGCTGGGTACACGGCGTAGAAATCAGCCTTCCGCGCAAAGGCGTTAACGAGCAGCGCTGTCAGTGCCAATTGTTCAAAATTCTCAAAAATCACGGTTAAAATCCCCAAATTTAGGGAGAGGATAGTTCATATTCCCCACGCATTCCCCACATCTCGAGTTTTCATTATTTATTTCTAATACAGAATGTAAAATGTAAAGCAAATTATAAAATTAGATGACCTTAAATTGTTTATTTATTTTAATGAGATTCAACATTAATCAAACTTTCAACTAAAAAATCATTTTTCTTTGCCTTACAAAATTAAGTAACTTAAGTATTTGTTGCGCATTTGGTGACCCTATGGTTAATGTTAGAAAAAATCAATGAGTAAATTAAGTTTCGACCTATATTTAATATTTAAAGTTGACGAGTGCCGAGTGGTAAGTTGTGGTATGGAAGTAGTTGGTATTTACTACAAACTGCTCGGCTTTTGTTTATCAATAGCTGATTTCGTTTTTCTTCATATCGGGGACCGGCTTAAGTGGGAGAAAGGATCGCGAACTCAACCGGCACCAACTGGTAACTTTACAATTCAGAAACAAGTGCTCTGATAATAATTCTATTTAAGCTGCTTGTTAATAAAGCGAGGGATGTGCGATGTTGAAAAACACGTTGATATAGTTCATCTCAGTGTTTCTAACAATAACGATCAAACTAGCGATGCATCAGTAATCGATAGATTTAAAAAAATCGTAAAATGTTGGAATCCCCAAGTTTTCCCTACATAGCGCCAATTTCCACAAAATCCCCAATCTAGTTGAAATTCTCCGCAATTTGGGGAATTCCCGACAAATTGGCAACGCTGTTCACGAGTCTTCCGCTTTGCGTTGCGGAGAGACTTACGCGCATGTGCGGCGCCTTGCCTTTTGGGTTGTCGACACTCTCGAACCGGCTGCTGCTCTGTGATTAGCCAGTGGTGCTGTCCTCCGCAAACGTTTCTTGTTGTTTGCGTGGATATATCAAGTTTGCTAGATATCAAACTCACGGAACGCAAAGAAATCCAACGCAAAGCAAGCGGCCGGCGCGGCGCAAGCGAGTGACTCGTGAACACTGGAACAGTCTTGCCTGCGTATGCACGACGCAAGTCACGCAAGCAAGCGAAAAACGCAAGTGAAAGACTTGTGAACCCTGCGTTAGCATAAAGAACAAACTTTGAGAGAGAGAGAGAGAGAAGCTACATAATCTCAGTACAGAGTACTAAAAATACCGACCTCAAAAGTACGTGGAATTACATCTATTTGTAAAGATTTTTTGAAATCGGTTACCGGAAAGTGCGCAAACCCGGATTCATCCCCTAGTTTGCCACTATACGGAACTTGACACTGGAGATAATAAAAATAGGTTCTCACTACTCAAAGAACATTGAGAGAGAAAAACGCCTTGAATTAGGGAATAGCAAAATCAACCATTAAAATAATTGCTCCTTATAATAAAATTTAGGCGCTATTTATAAACATGAATCTTCATGCGTGAACAGCCACTCTTAGAGGTGGACGATTTTCTACAAAATTAAATGGGACCACTATGAAGGTACTTCCAACAAAAAAAAGAATCATGAAAATCGGTTCACAAATACCGGAGTTATCGCGTAACATACATACAAAAAAACACAGTCGAATTGAGAACCTCCTCCTTTTTTTGAAGCCGGTTAAAAACCTTGACTATCGCAGAAAAGTAGCCTGCTTGTCGGTTTTCTACCGGATACATTTCGGGGAGTGTGCGCAGAAACTTTTCAATTTAGTTCCAACCTCACCGTTCCTCCTTTGGTCGACTAGCAGGTCCGGAGCACTTCATCCTTATGTCATTGATATACTACCCATTCGCACTAAGCGCTTTGCTTCCTCCTTTCTGATGCGTACGGCAAAGGAATGGAATTCTCTACCGGTACCTGTGTTTCCCGAAAAATACAATTTGGGGCTATTCAAGGCTAGAGTGAATGGGCACTTTTTAGGTAAACGCGTACCATCGTCAGTCGCATCGTCGCTTAACATCAGGTGGGATTATGACCCAGCGTGTGTGTATAATAACTAAAAAAAAATTTTGGCTGAATGGCCAGCGCCTATGCTGCAATGCCCGAAAGGCGCGAAATTTAAAATTTCACATTGGCTGGAGCTTTATAGTCGCAGCAAGGAGGAGGTCTGCGGGTTGCCGATTCCTGGTCTAGGCAGAATAGTAAACAAACGTACTTAAATTTATTGGCAATAGAGCGGGTTATATAAGTACCTATCTATTAATTAAGTTGTTTTGTCTGTTATCGTGTTTTTAACAGACTTCACTTTTAGTAGCAGTAGAGCTCCTTGTGAAATCCAAGGAAGTACTGCTACCTTATATATATATCTGCCGCCAAGCAGTAATATCAGTATGTTTCGGACCAGACACATGCAACTTGTCAACTTATATCTCGGGGCGACGGGCGCAGTAGCAGTGCCTCCAAGATCTTTGCGATTTAAAGTTCTGTGTGGCACTGTAAGTATTATGGACAGGCGTGTAACTTACCATCACGCGCACGACTTGTTCGTCCCGTCACTTGATATTAAAAAAAACTTCATCAATTAGGGAAGTTCTTTGTTTCCCCAGTACGTGGATATGCACTATTCTCGCATTTTGGGGACTTCATGATAATTCGCAGAAACACATTGTCTACCATTGGTCAATAGTAGGTAGGAAACGAACCATTTTTAGTAGGTTCCGGTGTAGGGGTTCTGGGTAATTTCGTTACTCTGTTGCTCTTAGCACTGGGGATTCTCTAGTTTGAGACCAGATAAATGGTGTGATCGTCTGAAGTAAAAAATGCGTTTTGGGGTCCCTAAGTGAAGTAAACTAAGTCTAAGACCTGTAAATATACAAGTTGTTAAAAAAAGAATTCGTACATAATACACGATTCTTTTTCGACTTCCCGTACAAAACAATCAGCGGAGCGGACAATTTTGTATGAAAATAAAATTTTTTTTCGCTCATTTGCATTATATTAGAAGGTTCCTAATCGTTATAGTACCACTAAAAGTAGATAGAGTAAATTAGAATATTCCACCACACCAATATCGTGTGACATTAATTACCAATATTAACCGACCTAGGGCACATGTATTCACAGTTTTACCACAGTATAATTAAGACTAGTAGTGTAACTCCATACAAACGTAGCAGCGTGGCTTGTATGTGTGCACGCCCGCGCGTCGTGTACAGACGCATAAACACACGCGGCACTCGTGTTGCACAAGGCGGGTTGCACGCGCCACTCATTATGGAATTGAAGCGATCGCTCGGTGTTTAAAGAAATGACATTAAATAGTAGACGTGTTTATTGCTTTGTTTATGGTCCAAACGCGAATTCATTCTAAGTTAAGTTAAGAATGGTTATACACGACAACTTCTAGCAGCGATGCAAACGCGCGTTCGTGAAACGCGCGATTGCATCGCTACATTTGCGATTTATAGGCAATTGCATAGATGCAATCGCCCATAAATCCCAAGTGTATTTGTATTTACATAAATTAAAAAAAAAATGGTAACATTACACTCAATCTGAAGACATATTTTTACTTTCCACGTTTGATGTACCTTTTCAGTTGTACCTATCAGCGTTGAAGTGGTCAATACACTTTACGAGTTACTTAAAAATTATTTTTAAAGGGAACACAGATATGAACAATGTAGACCAATTTGTAATTTTTTGTTCGTCCCAAATTAAAAAAAAATATTTGTACATATTGCCGATACATAAAAACAAATTGGTTATTCCATTTCAGAACTTAGGACAAGTGTCGCGCGATCAACTAATTGAGCCGAACTACCGCGAACACCACATCCCTCCTCTCACTTGGTTCGCCAACCCGGACGTGCAGATCTTCAGTACCGATGAAGGAGCCGCAGATGCCTTCGTCAATTCTCTTCGCGAGGAGTTTGACGTTGGTGGTCGTATCGAAAAAATTCGGGTTTTCGACAATGGCAAAACTATCAGCTTCATTCACGACTTTGAAGACAACGTTACTGGTAAGTCTGTTTATTCCAATGAGGTGTTCTCTTTTCGAGGGCGTGAAAGATTCTTGTCTGCGTCATAAACTTCTTTTATCCACCGTCCTTTGATTAGTTCGTGACTTTGAAGACAATGTTATGGTGTTAAATGAATATGGTCCTTCGAGTCCGGTACTTGGGGTAATAACAAAATACACTAGTTTTCGCCAAAATTCAAAATAGTAAATTAACAGAAATTTAAATAATTTTGATAGCTGCTAAGACTTTTTCGTTTGATTCTAAGGAATTGAACTGCTTTCCTAGATTAAAATGTATGATGATGACCTCGGTGTCCCAATGATTTGCATTATAGGCGCTGGGTAAGGAGGTCCCGAGTTCGATTCCCGGCTAGGCCAATTTGGGAAATGAACTTTCCAAATTGATTCTGGTCTGGCTGTTCCGGGTAGTGCCCTAGAGTGAATTCCGTTGCTTTGGTATGAGTACCAATAGTATAGGGAATTCTCTAGTTTGAGACCGGGTAGTGGCGTGGTAGTCTGGCACAGTATTTAAAGCAGACCCTTCGCTTTCCAGGCATAATAGATCAAGACCGGTGCTTCCTAATGGACCTAGATCCTTCTCTGGTCCTCGATCCGGAGCTACTAGTATTTGCGATCCAGAACGGTGAGGAGTTCGACCTGACTCGTGTACACACCACCCTTCGGGCCCTTATTCCGGCACTGGTTGACCTCAATCACAAGGCTCGCGCGCTGGCTGAGCGCTGCAATGTCAAGCCTACTTACCGCCTTAAGAACTCCGGACCTATGAGTAAGTTACCTTAGTAATTAAAGAAGAGTAAGGTGGTCGCGCCAGTGACCGACAAGCACCACTTTTCGATATCTTTCCTAAATTCCTTTGTACTAAGATTTAGGACAAAATATTCTATCATTGTAACACGTTTCCTATAGGTATGGGTGTTCATTAATCGCGAGTGTTGATTACTGGTTAGTTAATTTGTGGATTTTTGGTGTTCTTTACTGGAATTTTGGAGATATTCTAGTTTAGGTTTTTTTTAGTAATAATTCTTTTTTTGAAGGTCTTCTCCTATCGGAGATTGGCCAACATCCTGACCTTAGAGGCTGCCTCTGTAAAGAGTTTGGTGGCAATGCAGCCGAACCAATCCCTTAAATATACCAACCAGGAGTGCCGCCTTCTACCAACATTTCGTTTTCTAACGATTTTACCTTGGATGATAAGCTGAAATAATGTGTATACTTATTACACGTAATAATTAAAATAGCTTTTTTACGCAACATACTGCAGTATAATCTTTCTTGAGGATTATATCTGTGAAGTAAACTAATGACTATAGCTATATATGTTTAAAAACAAAAAATATTTCAAATTTAAAGAAACGATATAGCTCAAAAATTGGATAAGTGGGTGATTCTTCATAAGTGACAATCATTGAAATAATAAAATGTGTTACAAAACTAATGCATTAAGAAACTTGTACAAATAATTACCGTTTTCTTGTATTAAAAACTTGAAAATACCTATATGCATTCCTTAGTTGAGTCACACGTGATTTTAGAGAATTTTGTCAAAAGCAACTAAGGCGGTCGGCACGCAGATTCTTTATTGTATTCTCTTATTATTAGATGTACCTATTTAAGTGTAAATCTGATTACTTTACAATTTTTAGTTTTCACAGTTCTTTTTTTTTTAATCTGAAATGTTCCGAAATTCTGTGGAATATTCTCGAAAAATTTAAAATAAGTCGTTCATTACCATACTCTACTACTTATTCAATTCAATTGAATTAATTAAATTATGTATTTATTTAGGCATAAATCCCATTACATTAAATTATACATTACACAATCATCACACAGTCATAACAATTTAAAAGCAAATAAATAAATAAATAAATAAATAAATAAATAATAATAATAATAATAATAATAATAATAATAATAATAATAATAA